TTGGTAATGGTCGATCAGGACCTGCGTAACCTTACAGAGCCATGTCCGATTGAGGGATCTAATATTCGCGTCGACAGCTGATGTTTTCATTGCTGGACGGATAAAACTGTCCAACTCAGAGACTTTGCGTTTGAAGGTAAACGCTGGTTGGCCTTGCTGTTGAAGGGTAAGGATTGCCAAATGATGGAGGCACTGCAAAACTTGGAAGAACACCTTCACAAAGGGTTCTTCCTCCTTATGAGTGGGGACTGGTTGGCGTCGGTGGGCTGGTAGTCGTTTCTGTTGTTGGTCAGGTCGATGGTTACCTCTTGATTGGTAGGCTGTGTTGTAGGTAGGTCGGCGATGGGGTGGGATATAGCTGGATGGGTTGGTTGGTGGTCGGCGATTGGTAGGTGGTAGAGGTCGATGGAAGACAGGGCCGTTGTAGGGTACGTGATATTGGTTTGGTTGACGATTAGTGTTTCTATTTCTGGCTTCTTGCCAGTGGTTGTTGTAGTTGGGGAGCATAATGAAAATAACTTGGGGTTAGAAGGGAATGTACAGCGGATGTAACAGGAGGAAACTGTATATGGCAATTGACACGAACCGGTTTTCGAAATATTATCCTTTTTCAAGTGTCGAGGAATGGTTATGAAATGACAAAGTGGAAGTTGTTTAAAGTTCTTGTATTAGATTTTATTTTTAGACGACTCGTGAATATTAGAATTGAAATGTTTACATAAGCCCCTTTTACATTAGGTGCCTATAAAGCGTTCCGTCATCAGTCCGGCCCAGGCCGTGATAAAATATACCCATTTTCATTACATTTAACTCAAGTTGTCTGAGAACGGTTCTTCAGTTGTAGTGTAAATGAAAAGCACGGTCATCTGTGGAACTAAGTCACCGTGATGTAATCGAAGACATCTAGATGTAATCAACAATTTTACTGAATAATGACGAAATTCCGGGGAAAAAGGTGAAGGTTTGTCGAGGCGTTCTGATAACTACCGAAACCAGAATTGGAACGGTTCTCAGAATGCTTAACGATTTACATTACACAAAATTCATTAGTTTCGTTCTAAGAACCGTTCAGAGAACAGTTAATTTTTATACGCCCACATGAAATGGGGGGCGGATATTGTCATCACCCATGTCCGTCGGTCTGTCCGTCCACAATTGCTTGTAAACACTCTACAGGGCACAATTCTTGACGGATTTTAACAAAACTTAGTATGTGTGTTCGCAATCACCCAAGGATAAACCCTATTGAAAATCAGCGAAATCGAAAAATATTTAGCATGAATTATTGCCCTTGTTAATTTTTAGCTCGAAAAAACACTCTAGAAGGCAGAATTTTTGACAGATTTTGACGAAACTTGGTATGAGTGTTCGTTATCACCCAACGATAGACCCTATTGAAAATCAGCGAAATCGAAAAATATTTAGTATGAATTATTGCCCTTGTTCTTGCAAACGCGTTCAATTTTTAGCTCGCAAACACTCTAGAAGGCACAATTCTTGACAGATTTTGACGAAACTTGGTATTAGTGTTTGTTATCACCCAACGATAGACCCTATTGAAAATCAGCGAAATCGAAAAATATTAAGTATGAATTATTGCCCTTGTTCTTGAAAACGCGTTCAATTTTTAGCTCGTAAACACTCTAGAAGGCACAATTCTTGACAGATTTTGACGAAACTTGGTATGAGTGTTCGTATTCACCCAAGGATAAACCCTATAGAAAAATCAGGGAAATCGAAAAATATGTAGTATGAATTATTGCCCTTGTTCTTGAAAACGCGTTTAATTTTTAGCTCGTAAACACTCTAAGAGGCACAATTCTTGACAGACTCTACCAGTCACAATTTTTTTGTTCATAATCACAATTTACAATAGATGTCATTATTTTCCTGAGAAACTATTTTGGTTAACAAATAAGAAAATTTAATTTAATCATTTAACATGTCCCTAACCAGCCACCATACATGTACAGCATCATAAGATACTATAAATAGACCAAGTGGAAAATCCAAGACAGATATCCAATCATAGCTTAGTCATGTGACATCCCAAGATGCAGCAGTTTATCTGATTTCATTTTATAAATGTCATTCGAGAGAAAAGGTTTGCTTAATCATTTCATTTTCACCAATTGTGCTGATACAAAAATGAAATTAAACATGGGTCATAGGGGAAAGGTTTTGTTTCTTGGAAGATTGAATTGAGTTGCTGGATAAGTAGGCTACTATAGGAAAAATATTTAGTATGAGTTATTGCCCTTGTTCTTGCAAACGAGTTCAAGGTTGAATATTTCATACAGGTGATTGTTACTGCTACCGGTAAATATTTTTATTCAAAATCAAAGCTGCCAGTGGGCGTATATTACCTTGCCTGGCAAGCTATCTTGTAAGAAGGGTTAATGACTATGATACATGTAAAAATATAATCTATTTCAGTCTTTATTGTTACGATAAATCAGATATTAATGTATTTTTCAGCTTTGTCAATTTATTCGTGTATGTTTATGAGATTTGCATGGAAAGTACAACCAAGAAATCTGTTATTATTTGCATGTCATATGACAAATGTTACAGCACAAGTTACACAAGGCACTAGATTCATCAAATACCAGTAAGTTTGTCTAGTTCTTCCATTTGATGTCTACCTGGAAAGAGTGGAGTTACATGGTCCTCAAATTCCTAATTCTTGCAAAACTGCATGAGATGTAGAGCATGTATTGTTATCACCCATGTCTATCCTTTTTCCAAATTTTTCGTAAACATTCTAGAAGACACCGAAGATATACATCTCCGGTCCAACCCAGTTCTTTCCTGAGTAGGGCCAATGATTTTTATACCCCACATCCATATCAGACCATTAACAATTGCTTTTAAACATTCTAAGGGGCACAGTTCTTGACAGATTTTGACAAAACTTGGTGTATGTGTTTCTTATCACAGGGATGACCCTAAAAAAATTGGGGATTGGGGGGCAAACGTCCAATCAAGGGGGCTGTTTAGGTACCCCCCTCCCCTCCTGGAAAACTTTATGAATTGTTACGCATTACAGTGGTGCTCTCTTATTACCTTTTTATTGCTGCCGAGGACGCCCACTGGAAGCCTGGAAACACAATTTTCTGAAGTCTGGGTACCGTACACCTCTAGAAAATTTTACACAATTTGTCTCCCTAATTTAAGACTCAGGATTATTTGTCTTATAACAAAGACTCCCCTAGGCTCTGTAAAATGAATTAAACTATTTAAAAATAAGGGGGGGTCAAGATTGTAGTTAGCATAAACTGACAAAATTGCAGAAAGAACATGAAACAGAACATCTAGATCTGTATTTTAATTAGATTATTTTTGGGAGAGAATATTTGGTTTCTTTTGGTGGTTGTGGCATAGTCGTTGTAGTCAATAAACATGAAATCCATTTTTTTACTTGAAATTTTTTGCTCAATGAAATATATTTGCTGTGTAGAAATCAGCTGTGTGGGACTGTATCACACCTTCTGCATGTTCTTTTATCAATGGTGTGTGTGTTTATCGCATCGAACTTCTGTGTTTCTGAGACATTCTCATCATCACTTTTTATTGGTTGAGGATCTTCTTCTTGAAAAATTTAGAAAACCTCTTAACAATCACTCCTTAACAGTTTCTATGACTGTGTTTAATATTGTTATAATTTTAGCTATTTAACATCAGATGAAGAAAAGCTGAAACACCACCTAAGTTTGATAGATAAGGAGGTTCATGCTCACCCTGAAAAATATCCTGGTATGAAAGATTTAGTTGAAAAACTGGACAAAGAAAAGATAGAGTTAGAAGCACAAGAGTTTGAAGCCAAGGACTACAAATTACCTGCACAGAAACCACATATAAAACCATCTTTGTAGTAAATTTAGTAAATTTCTGATTTAACCCTTTAATACTAATAGCTCATCTTGTTTGTTTGGGTTTCTCTTCTTACTGCGAAAGACACCAGGAAACAATGATGGACGCAGTTGAAAATACTCTTTACAATTAAAACAAGAGAAACATGAAATTTTCTTAAAGAAAAGGATTAACTATCTTCAAAAGACTTATTGATCAACTCACTAATATAATGTTTTATAACATTATATCGATAATTTCCTTCATTTCTTTTCCTTGTGGGAGGAGCCTAGACAAACTATAACAAGTTTTAAATCTAGTTATAGAAGTGTTAACTTAATAACTCTGCAAATGTATAGAGTGAGGGGAGTGACTTTTTTTGCACATATTATTATAATTTCTGACATATTAGCCCCACCCTCAGCACGTGCCACGACGAACAAAAGTAAATTGTATCATTCATGATTGTATAAACATGTAAAAATAATATAGGATATTGAAATAGTACGAACATTGCCAGACCTTTGTGTCTCATGTTATAAGTAATTTACAGCACGTTTCCATACTTTCACCGACCTTGCACTTTGGCTTCTGTGTTTAAATTGATCATCTCATGAAAACCATGCTCTAAATATTACTCATTTTTTTCATTAACAACAAGAAATAACAGCTTTACCAGCTCTGGTTACTGTTCAGTCCAAAACATCTGCCTCTTTTCCAGCCTTTGATAATTATTGTGACAATTTTTGGCTGGAGTAAGGTTTTGATTTATATATGCCCACACGTTGTAAGGGAGCATATTGTCATCCGTCCTTCTGTTCACAATTGGCTCATGCGATAGAACTACAATATTACACTTCTATGCTCATGCTCACTGTACAGGCTACAAACAATGATTTGTAGTTGAAGGAATTAACATTAGTTATATAATGAGATATTATTAAAGATAAATACTAAGAAATGATAATTACATCCATACAAATTGTTTTTCTCGACTTATTTATAGATCAAACATTGTACACGAAAATAATAGGTGACACATTTTGCAACCGTTGTCGAGTTGGTTACTCATGAAATATGGGTCAAGGTGAGGGATTCATAAATAAAATCAAAACAAACCAACTTGAATTATTTCATAGAATAGGCCCTATTAATGAAAAAAACATCTAAGATGTTGCACCGGTCTCTGTTCAGATTTTGGTATTTGAAGAATGGACCTGTGGGAAAAGAATGAAACTAGTAAGCTGATTTCAATTGTGATTTATTCAAAGGAAGTACACTGATGAAAAAGGGTACATGGCGAGTTTGTCTAGAGTACAATGATCATGGAAATGATCATCAATGTAACATGTGAATAATATAATAAAATCTTAACTTTTGTTGCATTATGTTCCATTGAACTGAGGGCTCTAAAGAATTGGCCATTCCTGCACATTAATGAGAGCCTTAAAGAATTTGCCCTTTCCCGCCAGAAAGCGCGCACCTCAATCTACCTCGCCTTGGCTATCTCTAAAAGCATATTTTAACATAATACAAAAATGGTATTCAAAAATACTTCTTAATCATAAGAACTGATATCTTATCTTAAAAGTATGCAAACAGAATCGAAATATATAATAGATACCTGTGGGAAAAGAATGAAACTAGTAAGCTGATTTCAATTTTGATTTATTCAAAGGAAGTACGCTGATGAAAAAGGAAAGATAACTGTCAACTTTCAACCGGTTTCAATAAAGTATTGCTTATAGGACATAATTGTATAGGAATGTAGTCCAGGCTATTTTTAGAAATCTTCTTTCTCTCTCCCTTTTGGGGTTTTTGCCTGCCTATTTTTGGGTAAAATTTGGTCTAGATTTGGAATTTGATGTCTGAAATTGCATTATCTTTCAGATTTGGTGAGATGATGAGAGACTTAAAGGCGGAAGGCTAATTCTAAAAATAGTCGTTTTGTGAAGTGCCAAACTCTAGCGGATGAGTATAACCGGTAGTAGTCTACTTTCAATTTTAGTAGCTCAAAATTTTCATGGTCATCATATAATGAATTTTTTAGGAGACATTGAGAATTGGTCAGGCTTTCATTCGACATATTGGAAAGCTTTCAACGAGATTTCTGGAAAAAGTTATAGAAGGTTGAATTTCGTGTTTTAACATGGGAAGAGATGGCAAATGAATTAGTGGAGTGAGTCCTGCTTCCTTTGAATAATTGCTTCCCTTAAATAAAGCCTTCAGACCACAATAAAATAATCCCCCCTAGATTTAACAGCTTAACCCAACAAAGACATACAAAATTTTTTATTAAAATAAACAGTTATCATGTGGAGGCAGAAAGAGGTTTACATAGGTTTAGGAGACATATTTCTCTACCGTCAAGCAGTTTTCTTATACCTTCCAAAACGCATAACAAACTGTAAAAGTTTACACAAACTAGTCCAGATCGATCGCAATCTAAAAAATTTAACGATAATAATTAAATAATCATTAATTCAGTTATGACTGAACGCCGAACCGCCGTGGATGCCTCCAGGGCGAATTTTCGCACGGCGACCGGAGTGGCGGATGGATCAGGGCCATTCATCATCCAGTTTCTAATCGAGCCATTAACTTCGGTAGGCCTACATAAAAAACTTAATCCAATTGACCTTGGCCTACCCTGAAAGTTACGCTAATCGTTAAGATTCAGTTTTACAGAATCTGTCGAGGATTGCCGAATGCCCTGATGACACACGTATTAAAAGTTGCAAACACTTAAACTGAAACTGAAAAAATAATTCATGGACAGAAGAACCCTGTTCTGTGTGATAAAATAGAATAAGATCGCAAAGATCCACTTAAAATACATAATGTGTGGCAGCATATTAGTTTATTAGTTGGAATGACAGGAAAGTTGAAAATGGTGAATGTATATATGGGTCCATCAAGAGAAAACCGTGCCTGAAACGCCGAATCCTATTAGAACGACAAAAGGCACAACGCGTTTCCGTCCCATAGACCGCGCAAAGGTACTTTATGTTCAGGCCCTTAGTAAAACGTATATTATGCCTTAAGCACATCGTGTACACATCTTTATTGAATTTATATATGGAAAGTGGAATGGTTTTTATTCAATGTTCTTCATTGCTATTTCTTTAATCTTCAATTATAAATTCTTATCTCTTAATTTGCACGCTTAATTCAACATTTATGATTAAAGGTTGACATTTGTATTCATAAAATGATAATTTGTACTGAAAATGAACATTCTTCGATAAACATTCGGTTTTCCAAATATTGAATTAATAGAATTCTTGCCACAAACATCTTCAAATACAAATCTATAAATACCAATCTAGCTCAACATATCTTCAAATGCAAAACGTCAAACACGAACGCGAAACATTTCTCCAAAAAGGCTACATATCGAATTAAGATCATAATTATGACGACAAATATCGCTGTATAGATAGCCTCTATCATCCAGTTCATTTTGCAACGCGCAAATTGTTAATTTTCATGAGCATGAATAATTCCAAAACCAGAACTGAAGTTCATACCAGTCCTACGAATAGAGATAGAACTCAGTCCTGGTTTTGGAATTATTCAAGCTAATGAAAATCAACAATTGCACTGGTTGATAGAGGCTATTCTTTAGTCTATATCTTATTTTATGTTGGTTGTACACATCGAGATTTGGTATTAAAAGTTTTGAGCTAAGTTTTTATTTGTAGATTTGTATTTGAGTATATTTTTGGCAGGAATTCTATAAATTCAATAATTGAAAAACCGAATGTTTATCGAAGAATGGTCTTTTTCAATACAAATTATGACTTTTGTATACGAAGGTCAATTTTCAATGACAAATGTTGAATTAAGCTTGAAAATTAAGAGATAAGAATTAAGAATTTAGAGTTAAGAAATAGCAATGAAGAACATTGAATAATAAGCCATTCCGCCTTCCATAAGCATAAACACAATAATTCTATGACGCAGTTTCTTTATGACGTTTTAAATAGTTTGGCGTAAGTGGACTTTTTGCAATTCGTATGGCATCTTTGAATCTCAAACCTAACGTCCAAAGCAATCCTAATTTTGGGTAAGTAGATATTTCCGGCAAGTTTATTTAGTTTCAACCGATGTTAGCTTTTAGTCAGTGAGCTTCTTCGGCCTTTTCTTAACCGATATTGAAATGAGGAAAGACATATATATATTTTTTATTTCCTTTTTCATTCTTTTTCAGAGGGTTTGAGATTGCTCAAAGTTGGGGCGAAAATAAGTTATCAGATAATGAGCCCTTAGGCAGTAAAGATCCTTTCTTCCAAAGATAGTAAGTAAATCCTTCTTTAATCCCTTTAGGGCCTGCCAGGGAAGCCAACGGAAAGAGCGCTTAATTTTCACACTTTTCACAGGCCCGAGGGGGGAGGGGGCAAGACCAAATTAACCCACCCCCTTAATACGCCACTAAGCCGATTTACTTTATAATAATCGGTAAAAATTTGACTTACGAAATTTCTAAGACATTAGTAAATAATTGTCGGGAGTATTTGACCGAATATGAGAAGGGTTACAAAAAATTTCAATTGCTGACCGAAAGTCTGACAAGTTTCAAAATTCAAAAAGTTTCTCTAGATTTTTTAATCCTATAATTGCAATCATAATCATTATCCATTTCAACATGACATCTGATATGGTGATGATATCGCTGATGTCAACGAAAATGAGGGATTTTACATTACTGTACTATCTTTTTCAGTCGTAATAATTTCAGAAATTATCATGTTTTGGAAGGATACGGGCAAAAACAAGATGAGGACTATGGGTAAGTTAATTTCATAATAATTGTTATCTCCCTTTAATCATATAAAAGTAATATCTTGAAGCCACTTACAATAAAATGAAGCACATAACAGTAATTTTTACCCTGGGCCTGTGTTTACAACCACTTTCATTTAAATGGAATGGGGTTTTACGTTTTTCTGCCACCAACTTGTCGGAGGATCTTTAACGTACACGACCTGTACAGCGCATGGTATGATTCATTGTTCGATCCTCCGAAAGTCAGAAGTGCTTACTCAATTCCAAAAATCAAAAATACATAATATTACCTATTGGTTTAATATGATTGATACAATTTGTATTAGTTATAGTAAACATTTATTTATTTTCCTGCAACTTTTTCTTTCAGTATACCAAGGCCTTTATCAAATAACTTTTTGTAAGTATTTTCCCTACCATTCGTCTATTTACTAATGACAGTTCATGAATTTGTATTTACAATGTACTATTTCTTTGGTCTACGGAGCTGGATCTCCATTACCATGAATTAACAAAAGCTCAGTGGAGGTGGATCGAATTTGATTCGAATGGTTTAAACTGAATTGGCGATTTTGCATTGTTCCAATTTTGAAAAGGATCCATTTTTTATTTGGTGACATATTATGATCACTTAACACCTATTAATCATAGTAAATTTACGCTTTATGGTAAAAAATTTACCTCTAATCCATCTGGCGAGTATACTCTTTAGAACAATAAATATACCAGTTTTTATACGCCCACATGCATGGGTGAATATCGCAGTTGGGACACAGGGTACGGTCCTCATCGTCTTTTCCAGAAAGAAGAATCCCCCCTCCCCCAAACCCTCCTCAAGAGGCGAACGTGCCTATAGTACCAGGATTAGTAGTCCGAAACATCTGCCTCTATTCCATTCTATTCTGATGGATATTTTGACATTTGACCAAATAGCTATCAGATGCTGGAATAGAGATACATGTTTTGGTCTTCCGGATTAGGTATTACGGTTTTTCCGTGGATTCTAAAAGTGAGGAAAAAGGGAAAAGTGAGGAAAAATGGAATACTTCCCTAAAATTCTGGTCCCCACCAACTTTATGAATGGATCTGCCCACATGGAATGTAGAGTGTATATTGGCGTCACCCAGTCCGTCCACATTTCTTGTAGACAGAATAGATGCTACAGTTTTTATCCGATCTTATAATGAAACTTGGCATGCATCTATATATTGATGACATCTCGGTCAAATTCGAAATTGTTAATGATCGGATGAACGGTTTTGGAGTTATTGCCCCTGACTTAGTAAAAACGCGTTTGGCTTTTAGGCACGATAGAGGGCTACAGTTTATGTATATGTTTATATATATATATATATCTACGACATCTCGGTCAAGTTCGAAATTTTTAATAATCGGATGGACGGTTTGTTATCATTTCTGACAGCTGGTAATGGGCGTATCTTACTTTGCCCGGCAAACTATCTTTACTTTTGCAGATCTTATGCAAACTAACCAAACATACCCACAATATTGTAATTCTTCGTACACTAAGTGTAAGTCCTATACCTCCTAAGGGTGATGATTATATATTTCAGTGGTCGAATTAGTAGTCTTCACAATACCAATCGAAGGATCAGACGTCCAAGCAATTTCCAGGTATTTCCATGGAATGATTACCAGCGAACAAGTGATATTGGTAAAAGATTGCTAAATATATTTTTTCAAATTTCTTACAAATTCTGTGGCCTTGATCGCGTTCAATGACCAATTTTTACGTATTTTCGGTATATCAAGTGTTGTATTTCTGTAAATATTTGCCGAATCTTACCCAAATACCAACTCGTCCAATTCTGGAATATAAAAACTTATTTTATGCCTGTAAAGTTGAATAGGTTCTGTTCTGTTGTACGTGACAACATTTTTAAGGCAAAATCCCATTATTGTAAAATAATTTAGATCCGGGTTAATTCATTAATTAGAAGATATTAGTAGGTTACAAATATGATGAAGCATTTGTAGTTGATCTATAGGCTAATGGTAAAACTTTCGATCCACTTGCGCCGATTAAATTGGTATATTTTGAAATGTAATAAATTTTAGTCAACACACTGAGTAAAAACTGTATATTGAGGTGAAAAACACGTATTCTGTAAATATAATGTAACACAGTTTTTCAACAAGAGTTACTTCCTGACTTGACATATTGTAACCACCAATATTCACTTCACAATGTTAACACAATATAATAATGTTATATTTACCATAGGGAGACAAGACTCAAATCATTATTCTTGATTTTACGAAGCTGAATCACACTGTCTTTAAAACTACCTTTTCGTTCTAGGCAATCATTCCCTGTGTGATACGACCCGAGAAGCACTGGATGGAAAAGACAGAGATCTTCACCGAACCAGTCGATATTTAACAATTTTCCCCGATCACTCATCACAAGTGATCCCTGTTTCTGGACGTGTTCCACCGCAACATTATCACCATAAGGGAATCAACAAAATACTCAAACGCTGTCATCTGCATGACTATCACATACTATTGCCACCTTTAACGCATGCAGAGTCATCACCATCGATATACGAGTCCCGGGTCATAGCAAATAGTATGCCAACTGAAAAACAAAGTTCTGCGTTCATAAAAAAGATTAAAAACCTTAGGGGATACGAGGATGCAGAGCCAGTTGGTAATATAGGTATAGCTCAGAAACGATGCAAGCAGATCAAATACCCGAGTAGATCTGGTAAAATTGGACAATGTGTTAGATTTAATGTACCTGAAGCCAAAGAACCACCTGAAAAACCAACTGAAACCATCCCCCCAAAAGCCCCTAGTTATCTTTCGTGCAGTCGTCTCGGTCCTGAAAACTGGCAAACATTGGACAGAGAAGTACGGCGAGCTATTTATCACAAGGAATCGGATAACTACAAGGAATATATGGTTGTACGTGATGGTGATGAAGATGTAGAGAGCAATCTGGACAAGGAAATGGATCTGAATAATGAAGAAGATGATATTGAAAAGGTCAAATGCGAAAAAGAAATTGTAGAAGAAACAACATTAAGCTGTATCACCAACCCTTTCGCTTTCAAGTTAATTCATCAACGAGGCAAGTTTGTGTCACCATGGAATAACAATATTGATCCAAAATATATGTGTTCGAAGTCAGATGCGTCAAAAAGGTAAGCATGAAAATAATTTACTCTGATATAAACAGCCATGATGATTGGTCACAGGAAATTTTGTCACCGGAAATATGTTCATAGTAATACGAGCACAAGGTATTATGGTCAAAGTAATAGGAGCACAAGGTATTATGGTCACAGTAATACGAGTACAAGGTATTATGGTCACAGTAATACGGGCACAAGGTATTTTGATCACAGTAATACGGGCACAAGGTATTTTGGTCACAGTAATACGGGCACAAGGTATTTTGGTCACAAATGATGATATCTTGCTATAACAAAGGTAGCCAACTCAACGCCTTATTTAATGCCGCATTTGATTGTATGTATACCATTTTTTCAGATTTCACAACATGTTTCCCGATATAGTTCCAGATCAACGAGATAATTATACGTATGGTAAAAAAGTTTCGTTTTATGGTTATAATTCCTCTGCTTTCAGATAAGGGGGAAATGCTTGTTGACATCGTTATAGGAAGTTCATGTAATGTTTATCCTTTTCTTAGTTTTGATTAATGTAATATTTCTTTCCTATTGAAACTTTATATTGAATTCAGGATTTTATAAAATCATGTAAAATACTGATGTTAGTCGTTTCTAAGTTTGTTACAACTGAATTTCTGTGTTTTGTGTGTCATAGAACTTTTAGAAATCTATATAAGATGATTTTTTAAAGATTATAATTTCGTACCTACTGTTGAATTTCATTTTTTTAATGTTGAATTCTATCTTTTCAAAATTATTGTTTTATTAAAAGCACAAAACTTAAGAATTGAGAAAATTCAGTGATATCCGTAGTGGGTCGCTCTATGCATGAATGTCCATAATGTATCATAATACTTTACATCATTAGCCTAATACATGTCATCAGAAGAACTGAATCGTAAATTTTGTTCTGGTTTGCCATTGCTTTTTGAAAAGATACTGCGTTGGATAGCGAATTTACGATCGTTTAAACTTCATGCTTTTATTTAACATGATCATTAATGTTCAGAATAATATTTCATTATATTTAAGCATTATTTCTTCTAATACATTTTATAACTTTATCCAAAAATTTTCACATAATTGTTTGAAAATTTTGTATTATTGACTAGCTCTTCATCATGTATGGTTTTCTTTGTTTTTTTTTTATGGAAATATTTATGTATTTTAAATCGTGTTTTACGTACTATTATATTTCTGGACCATCGTCCTACATAACGTAATATTATTTCTGTAATATTTTAACATGTGAAATGTTGTTATTTTATTTGTTGTGTCCTGTTAAATTCGAAAGTTAAACTATGAGATTTGGCTTGGTATTTTAGATTTCGGGCAAGGGAGGGTTTGATTCTCCCAAATGTACAGGCCTAGGGCGGAGCAGACACTTTATTTAGAAATTAGGATTAAGGGTCTTGATATTGGGTTCTCTTCTGTTCTTATTCTGATCTGAAATTAGAAAAATATAAAGGGACATGTTTTGCATCTACTGGACAAACATGGAGCACTTCTTAAACCTGGAGGTATTTCGGCATAAAGTCTGTTTTTAGCTGCTATCTGTGCTAAGGTGGAATTTTTTATGTTTCGTTAAAATCGTTTAGAGTACCCACGCTCTTTCAGTTTTGAGAAAACAATCGTACAGGCTTGGTTGAAATCAGAAGATCTTGTACAAAGTCGATGAAATCGTAAAACTTGTGATTTAATTATAACAGAAAAGGTATGTTTTGGGTGAAAGGAGCTCTTGAGCAAGAGTTGATGAGTATCAGTTTCTTTGAAATACACTTTAATATCCAGTTTATTTGTTTCTGCTATCCCTTAAAGACTGTGGTATCGAGAAAGTCTATGCTTTTGTCACTCACGTTTGCGGTTAGTTTGATAGAAGGATGGTGGTTGTTGAGAATTTCAAAGAATTCCCAAAACTGTTCGATAGAATAAGTCCAAACCATAAAAATGTCATCCAAAAAGCGTCCGTAAAAAAGTGGGTCAAATGGACAGAGGGGCAACCCCCTCACGTTCCCACTCTGCCATGAAAAGGTTTGCGTACGAAGGGGCGAATCGTTTGCCCATTGCTGTCCGTGAAGTTTGTAAATATGTTTTTACCATTAAATGTGAAATTGTTTCGACTAAGACAAATCTCTAAAAGCTCTAGAATTGCATCGTCGGGTCTGTTTGGATCTGGGTTTCTATTAAAAGCTTTACGAACTGCCGTTAAACCAGTAGTGTTATCGATATTGGTATACACAGAAGAAACGTCGATAGAAATTAAAATAGCATGAGAGGGAACTCAAAGATTTTTTATTTCATTGACAAAATCGGTTGTGTCTTTAAGGTAGGCGCGATGTTGACATGCTAGAGGTAGTAAGAAATGCTCAATGTATTCTGACACTGCATACGACTCACTACCACAGTCAGATATAATCGGGCGGCCTTTAGGGATTTTATTCGAGATAAACCACTCCTTGGTTGGATTCTTATGGATTTTAGGCAAAGTGTACAAATGTCTCTCGCGACAATCAGGTTTGGCAGACAGATAGTCATATTGTTTCTGTTTGAGATAACTAGTTTTGACTAAATCGGCAAGAATATTGTTAATCATGTTAGCAGTTTCTTTGAAAATTGGTTTCGGTAAAATGGCATAATGTTTAGGATTATTCAGTTGATTCTATGCTTCTGAAACGTAATCCTCCCTATTCAGAATGACACAACATGAACCTTTGTCACTCTTTTTAATAACAATGCTATCGTCTTTCTTAAGTAAGTTTAACGCTTCACGTTCCACTCGTGTGAGATAAGGCTTTTCGTGTGTTATGGAAAGGTTCACTGTTTGGCTATTCATACTCGCAAATGCTTTCAATATTTCAGAATGAATGGCGGCCTGAGGGGGTGTCCACGTGGATTTAGGAATAAACATTGTTTATGGTGGTTTCGAAAAAATATGTGCAGCTAAGATTTCGTTGAAATCGTTCAATGGATAGTCGGATATAATTCAAGTTAGCTATCTTTGGTGTGGGAATAAATTTAAGTCCACGGTCTAAGATTGAATGCTGAAGGGGTGTGAGAATTTTGCGGCTCAAGTTAACTACAGTTTGGCCTAGCGGTGGCCTCTCAGTATTTTTATCCCCAGTAATTAGTTTAAAGACTTACTCGATGCTTGAAGCTGGTGT